GCCTAAGCTTTTACCATAATGATGTATCTTCTCTGAGAGCTTTCTCTCTCTGGAAAAAAATGCATTTATTCATATTCCAAACTTACTACTCATCTTCTTGCTCTTATCCCTAAAAGGCAGACACCATTACGGGGTGAAGCCTTACTTATTTCCAATGCACTCTAATATTAATGATCTTCCATGTACTGAGTCCTCTCCCCAGGTGCCAGGAAGTGGACCACTTTTAGTGGGAAGAACAGCCCTTCTTACTTCGGCAGAATAATTCCAGTGAGTCAGGCAGCCTTGGGAAGAGCCACATCGACTCAACAAAGGAAAAAAGAGCTGCTGAATAGAACAGAACATGAGTGCTCATTTCCCCCAAGAGAGGAAAGATGAAGCTGGTTTCATAAATGAATTAGCAAAGTGGACGGTGAAAGGTAGCTGCCTCCCTGAGTGCTGGCCTGGTGTGCAGCTTGGGCTACGGTGCTGTGCACACTCCCAGTACAAGACTAGGGCAGCTCTCGGCTCAATGGGCAAGGTTTGGGGGCCTTGGTAGTTGTAATGGATTGGTAAGGAAGGATCCTACTTGGGAAAATGAATTGCCAAGCTCAGTATGAAGCAAAAGGACAGTCTGAAAAGTTAATTCATATGGCTTCATAAGAGAGAAAATTTTGGTACAAAAATGTTGTATGTATACTGATTCCCAAGTGAAAATCCAGAATGAATGTTGAATTTAAAACTTTGTAATTTGCATGTCCACAAATACACTGTGCCTACTTTGAAAAAGGAAGTATGCTCTAAGTTAGTTCTACCACTAAATTTTAAACAAAAAAATCACAAACTCGAATTGTAAGAGAGTACCTTCTTTATTAGTGTAAAGTAGCCATTTGAATAAAACTGTATTCTGGGGGAAGGTAATATAATATTCCAATTGTCTACAAGTCCAAGTGACATTTTAAAACAAGTAGTGATTTTCAGCCTAGAGCGCAACATCCACTCCCATGGAATACAATAATGCCTCTGGAGTTGTGCAAGGCTTCAGCCCTGATGTACCCAATATAAGGCACGAAATAGAGAGATGACCAAGGAGTAGAAGGCTGCCCATAGTAGTACTGCCTCCACTATAAAGGCTCAGGATATAAATATAGATTCAGACTCTGTCATTCATGCTCCAAATGACCCCATTAATAGAATAAAATGTACTCAATGATTTTTTTTTCCTGAAACATTGTTCTTTTTTCTATACAGCTTAATAAAATATGGACTCCATAGTCAGAGCAAAAGATTTGAGAGAGCAAGAGACACTCCAATTATCTATTGGGCCTAAGTCCCGGGAATTCAGTGGAGAATAACTTGGAGAAGAAAAGGAAAATTCCTCATATCGGCTGTTTCTTAATTTTCAAACTGCTTGAATTAAATAAACATAATGCAGGAACCCTGCATTTTGTACAACAACCTTTTCAAGACAAATCAGGGAGAGATGACACCTACATTCCATGCCCCACTTAAAAGCCCTGAATCTAAATTCATGATTCTGAGTTAAGAAAGTAAATACTAATAAATTCTAAAATTATGTCCAATACTGTATTTGAACAATTTAAGTTTCTTCACTCCATCTATACTACCTAATAGTAAATTGTGGATAACCCTGAGAGTTAGGTAGGGTAAGCTAAAGGCATTCCATTTAACAAACTGGGTTCTTTAACACAAACTGACATCTCTGTACATATTTATAAGGCTTGGTGGTTATTATTAGGCTGTAATTGCAGTTGTTCTAACACCTAATAAGCCATGGTTGGAAAACCAAAGGCAGGTTAATTTGTGATTTCCTCTACTCATTCAGAGGCAAATTAAGTGTCAAACAGCTAATACAGAACATATTTCATTTTATGAGATTTTAATTTAATTCTGCACCATATTGTTGATGCCTTAATATAGGGTGGTTTATCTAAAAAGATGAGCAATTTATAAACCTCTTTCAATAGGATCATGATACCATAATTATCACGGCACCTGCCATCCTTCTAAACAGAGATTGGTTGGGTTTCCATCATCCACCCTAATCCTGTTTTCAAGAGACTGATAATTTAACTTTAAAGTTGGCATCAGAAGAACAATTATATGTACAATATATTGAGAATAGCCCCAAATTTTGTCTTATGATTAAAAATATTTATCCTAAAATCTTGGCTCACTTGATCTCATTTTCTATAAGACAATTATATAGCAAGTGTTTTAGAATTCGAGTTCTAAATAAAATCATTTTGCTTTTCCAGGTTACTTCTTTACCCCTCAGCAAACTCGTGCTTTTAAGGTTTCAGTAACCAAACCACATGTGTTTAGAGTGCCCTGCACTCCTAAAATGATCACAGGCTTCTACTCATTGTGCCTCAGAAAGTACAGATTCATGATTGAGCTGGGCCATATATTTTCATGCTGCCAACTGCCTTGAATGCGAACCCTTGGCATTTGTTCGGAGCTCTGTGCTTTTAAGAGTGCTCACAGAAGCATGATCTCATGGAAGTCCTCTGGCAATCTGGAGATTCGGGTAAGGCAAATAACTTCATTTCCAAAAAATGAAACCAATATATGCAAGGGTGAGTCACCAGAATTCCCAGCACAGGTGAGATTAAAGCAAGAATGGGATGCAGGCTCTCTGCACCTCTGCTGTCTCCTAGACTGGACAACTTTAACATCTACTGAGTACCTTTTCCAAAGTGGGTGGCCAAGTGCTGGGCACTGCGCACAAAACCAGCAGGGGCAGTGACCGCTAATCAGCAAATGACGAGGCAAGAGGACATGCTCAACAGTAAAGGAACAGCCTCTGGGACAGCCAGCAAAGGTGATATTTGACTTTGGCCTTGAAGAGTTTAAGCAGTAGCCTACCATGCAGGGAGGGAAGCCCACTGAGCGCAATGCAGAGAGACTGACCTGTTATAAAGGCACAGAGGAGAGACTTCCCTAACTTCCCAGAGCCCAGTACATAAAGTGACTCCACCCAGAACTGTGCTGGGACGAGCAGTCCCAGAGGCCACAGACCCACGTGCCCAGCCCACCATGTTCTGTGTGCTCTGCAATGGCATTTCCTCTCAGAACCTTCCAGGACTCCTCTTGTGAGTCTTGGGAAATCTATATCCTTACACGGCGAATCTTTGAAAACTACATATTTAGGCAGCTAGAGAGCAATTTAGGCAACTGTTGTTTATGTATCCTAAAGCTTGCCTGCAAACACAGGAAGTACTAAAATCTGTAAAAACCCCAGCTCAGCAGTCATATCTGAAATGTGACCCCCTCTCCCGAGATTCTCCAAACTTCATCTGCTTTATTCTGTGCTGTTTGCATCACTAGTGATCTAATACTGTAGGTGCAGCCCCAAGGCCTGCGCACCTAGTGTGCCCTGAAAGAGGACTTGCTTTCTTACATTCTGCCAAAGAACCAGGACTTGGGATTTTAACTCCAAAGCAAACTCTAAGGAACCCAAAGGAACTAATTCATTCCATCACATGAACCCATTTTTGGAAACTTCTCTGTATGATGATTTTTGAAAGAATAAAGAACTCTGAAATTCCATAGAAAATCTGATTTAAATTACTACATCACAGAGATGGGAGTCTGGGAGGAATCAGCCATCTAAAGGCTGAGCTGGCCCTGGCTGAGCTGGCCCTGGCTGGCTCTGTACCACACATGGCACAGATCCCTGTCGGAGATCCTCAGGGTTCCATCTGCACCGCAAAACTTCTGTACAATGGGGTGAGTTACATGGCAGTTAGAGCCTGAATTTGGAATTTCCGTCCCTTTGTACAGGGTTTTTAAGTGGCCTCAAGGCCATATTGGAGTGTATTTCTAGCAAACTTTAGAAACCTGTGATACTTACTTGTGTTCCAGTAAGTCACAAGTTTTTGTATTTACTCTCTATAAATATCCACTTCTTTAATAATGCTTATAGAAGTCTGCAACACAGATTTATTACTTACCTCCAGGCAAATCTGCTCTGAAATTACAATTCAATAATGGGAGATGGATCCAAAAACGTGTTGGTAAAATATTATATGTGTACTTGGGCATGTAGTTACGGTTGTTAATATCAATTAATTCTGTTCACAGAGGAGGACTTGTTTTAAAACAACTTCATTTTTCTTTGGCATATATGTAATTACAGAGCTTAACTAATAGCCATGAAGATGCAATCTACCATCTAAATAACCAGCATTATTCTTCAAAATATTATGTGTGCTTTTCTAACTTTACTGTCTCCAAATGAAGGGTGATTACTAGATATGACTAAACGCATACATCAAGGCCATTAGTAAGGGGCAGGCCCTCCCAGCCTTGGCTCCAGTAATTACAGTATATGATAATTTTCTGGACAGAACTACAAACGGATATCTTTTGTGTTTGCAAGTCCTCTGTTCCTTTTACCCCAAAACTGAATAAGATGATATTTATTTCCACAAAATTTTCCTCTTCCTTTTGTAATATAACATGTTATCAACCACCATTCCTTCCTTTTTTCTCTGTGTAAACCATGTGCTCGATCCCATTTACCATTTTGTTTGGGTGACATTCCCATCAATCAAGTGTACCCACATGGGGGCTATGAAAACTGACCATCAAAAGTTCATTATGATTCACTGTGATCCCTGGGACAGGAGTTCCACATAAAAGAAATTTTTGCATGAAAAACTGCAGACCCAATGTCCACCAAATACACATTCAGTTGGGTGACCTTCTATTAGGCCTCTACTTTTAATTTAGTATTTATTACAGCTGATGGCACACACATCAGCAAAATATATAGGAAATACTTTCCAGCCACCTAGTGTGACAAGCATTCTTCAGGAAGCAACAGGGATTTGCTTCAGTGAGTCCAGGAATAGACAGCCTTGCTATACTTTAAAAGTAAATCTTAGATACTATTCCATCTTCAAAGCCCAGTAGCTGTACAGATAATACAATATCCTGAGATAGTAAATGCTGGTATTCTGCTCTGTTTCATTAATGGGTGAAGTTTCCATACTTACACGTGCAATGGAGGGATCGGAGACGGATCATAATGGTAACGCCCTTCATGATGTCTTGCATCGATTGGTACAGGAGGATGGAATGCAGGAAAGAGATGAGGAGGGTCTGAAAAAGAAAGAAAGCCGACCTGTGTGAAAGAACAGTTGGAACAGAATTCCAGTTCATGATACAACACTGCTATACTACCTGTACAACTTAACGCTGATTCTGCTTTAAGAATCTGTACAACTTTTTTAAAGTTCATCACGAGGTTACACGGGTACCACAGAAGGATGTCCTGGTGAATAACTGCACCTGAGACAGTGGAGCTGATGACTGCAGGGTGCAGTGGAAACCCAGGCAGGGAGGCGAGCACGAGGATAATGTATGCTCCTATAAGGGAGGAAAGGTGGCGGGGGCAGAAGGGGGCGGAAGTCACAAACCAAAAGGAACTGATTACAAGACACTGATTTATTTTAAAAATTACACTGTCAAGTGAATTTTAGACAAAGACATAACATAAACACTAGTTACATTTCTCCCATACCCACAATGCTTTTTGAGGGAAGAAGTCCTTTCTAAAGCCCCTACTAGAATCCATACACACCACACACACACACGTAGACATGTATAGATATATCCATATACATTTATACACACATATATATGGTATGAACACACGAACTTTTAAGAAATATAAATGCATGCTCTGCTCCTTCTTGTCCTGAGTCAGGCCTCCAAAGTCCCAATACCAGAGCAGCGAAGCTATAGGTTGGCCAGAGAAATGCTGTAGGTGCAGCCTAGGCTGGAAGAAATGAGCTGAGCCTCTCAAACTGCAGCGGGAGGTTTGGAGCGAACTGAAGGGTTCTTGCTCTGCAGCCCTAACACTTACGGTGGACCCAGACCAGCCTCCCTTCCTGTTATGGCTCAGAATGGTGTTTGGTGCCTCCTGGGTTCCTGAGTATCCACTTACTTAAAATAGCTCCTCTGCTCCCAGTTACTCGTAGTAACTTGTGTGACAAATCTGAAAATAGAATTTCTTCTAAATAGATTCACTGAAGAGAATTTTACCAGATTTTGTCCTTAGACGCGTGACTGATAACTAAAGTTTTCCCCAAGTTTCAAGAAGCCAAATAAAGGAAGCCAAAACCCGGAGGTGTCTCCACAGCTGTGGGCATGATGCTACAGTCAGTACATTAAATTCTGTCTTCAGATTCTACCTTCTCCAGGCACTCCTGGCAGCCTGCACGCAGCCATCATGTTGCTACTGCCCAAACATTCCCAGTTTGCATGTGCACCAAACATGCCTGAGATGGGCTTCAAGCTATTTTTAACAATCTGAAAATTTTGCCTGGATGCACAGGGTTGGGGAGTACAGACAATTCCAAATGAGGTCCTGTGGATGGGTTCTGAGCCTACAGACCCCCGAGGGGGTAAGGAGGGCTGTGCTGAACACAGACTAAGGTCTGATCTGCACCTACACTGAGAATTTCCTTCAGTCCCTGTGGGTGACTACTGTGAATTCTGGTGGTTTATAATGTACTCTTTCCATACATGTCTCTTTCTTCCAAAGTTTCTTTAACAAGCATCTTTTAGAATATGAACATGAACTTTTAAAAAAAAAATTATGAAACCCTAACTTCCCTCGTCTTGTTGCTCCCCTCTGAGAATCTAAGAGGATGATCGTACGAAAAAAATAAAGCAAGAAACAATGAACATAGGATTGAGACAACAAAGGCAGGACCCGAAGCAGTGATTCTACTAGATTTGGAGCCTAGAAAAACTTCATGACCGGAAGAAGAATGCACTGAAAATGTACTTTGTGCTTGTAAGATAAAGGGGGAGGGAGTGGTAAAGAGGAAGGGAATCATCTTGGTATTGTCCAACCAAATCATTGTCACTGTGATACCATGATGTACAGCCATGCAGGAAATTCAACAAGTGGGGCACACTGACTACCTGACCAATTATCACACTGAGAATGTTTTGTAAATTCCTAGGCAAAAATCAGTTATATTTTACATGCGCCATCTAGGACTCAATGTTAAAGGATGTCAGAGTTAGCTCTTTTGCAGTGCAAATCTTGCAATTCGGTGGGCTAAACTGGAAAATTTATCCAGCACTACTGTCAAACTCAGTGTGCCACAGACCTCAGTCACCCTGCAGAGCCATACTGTCCTATTTTATTTAACCATTTTTGATGAAAATTATTCATCCTTCTTAAAACAACATATAATTGGACAGAGTCATCTTTTTCATTTGTTTGAAAGTCTGAGACAAACTCTGACTATTTCCTGATTTTCAGTTTTGAAACAGGCCCAAGTGAGTGAGGGCCCAGGTTCGGGGTGAGGGCGACAGCCGCCAGGTATGGCGCTGGCCCTTCTCTCTTCATCTCCTTATAGGAGTTGCTGCTGATGCAAATAAGCTTGCCTCTAGAAGACTTCAAGCTGAACACATGTACCTGCTCTTGGAAGTAAAAGAAAGAACCTTAGTGAAACTACTTGTGAAGCATTCATAAAGTCCGACCTACCTCCTGAGGGTTTTTCCCATGCACCATTTTATATGGCCATTTCGAGGGACACTGTGACCCTATGTCAGAGCAAGAAGATAGTATTTTTACTTCTTTACTTCTCAGCTCTTGGCTATTGTGTGTGAGTACATCCTCTCTACCAGATAAGTGGGAAGTGGGTACTACCTGTATCTGACGTTCTCAATGTATGTGCAACTATGAATTATGATATGATGTATGTGCAACTATGAACTATGAATTATGATGGGGCACAAATGTACATTTTTTCATACCACAAGACTCAAAATGTGCAAATGTATTCCATAGTCAATAATATGTCCCATACACCCAGGAAGTAACACCATTATCCTTTACATGAGCATTTGTAATGGGGTTACAGTGATTACACATGCACACAGGGGTGAAGACCAACCAGTTAATCCTATAAAAATCAAAAGGGTCTACCTGAGCAACATGAAACCATCTCCAAGCAACACCTGCAGGCTGTGCCATTTAAAAGGCAGTGCCATCTTCATTTTCAAAAAATGATTCTAACAGGATTTTAAATCACTTGCTTTCACTCCCTCTCTCCTTCTCTCAGAATGAAGGAGAAAATGACCATACCCTGAAATAAAATTTGAGAGGAAAATATAAAACACAATTACTGGGGCCTTTAGCACTCACTTCTCACTGTTGAGTCCATAGTGTTTTCTGAGCTTTTTTAAAAGTTAATTCCAACTGAAAGTATGTGCTACATCTTGTAAACCTGTTTGCACAAAGTGTTTATGTATGTCATTTATTTAAGAAATGTATGAATCCTGCATTCTGGAATTAGACTGAATAAAGAACAAAACATTAATGGACAGGACCTGACTGGAGCAAAGCATCTGTTTTTAGTTCAAGTATTTCACTGCTTCTATTTGTTTCCACCTTGATTTAGTTATAAATAACTTCTCCCGGACTTATGAAGTCTGTGTGAACAATTACGGCCTGTGTGTCAGTTATCAGTGGAAATCACACCTCTTAAGCCACTTTCTGGGAAAATGTAATGGAACACTCCTTCTCCAACTGGGACATGTCTGGCCACGACTTAATGATATAATAGAAGAATAAAAAGCAGCATGAGCATGCTTAACATATGTGGCACTTTATGACATTGATTCTAACACATTTCTCACAAAACAAACAGAATAAAACAAAAAAATTGCTCCTGAATCCTCAGATGTCAGGTGCTCCCCTTGCATCCTGCCTTGGCCTTTCTAAGTAGAAGATCAGTAGCACATTCCATCACAGGCCCAAAAAGCTGTCCAAGAAAACCCACGACGGGAACAGGCCCGTGTCACCAGCATCCACTGTAATTATCCACCTCACGGTTTATTATTTACACATGAGCAGCACAGCTGTACGGCATCATAACTCAAGCGTATGTGTAATAAGTTACCGCGCCGCGGCCATCTCCTGTTCTGGCCCTTGACAAAACACCACATGATGACTTTTCCAAAGTCAGGCGAAAACTGCTGAAGCAGAAGGAAGTGCCACTAAACCTGGCTGCCTCCTATTTATCATACAATTTCCTGACTGATGGTTCCACAAACCAGCTGCTAAGTGCTGTGTACTCTACTGTCAGCAAACTAACGGGCTAAATGGAAGACAGGGAGAATAATGTGCAGAACTGGTGGAATCAATTTTACTGAGAGAATTAAAATTCTACCAGGTGGGGGGGGGGGAGTCTGCAGAGCAGTGGTAAGCAGTCAACTGTACATGCTTATAGTTGCAAAGATGATTTATTACATACTTGAGAGAGGTTTGACTATTGGACCAAATTCCTCAGTTACTAAACCGAAATTTGAAGAGTACGTATTATCCAAGGCTTGAATGGGATATTCTTTAAGCCCCATAAATATGTAATTGGCTTGACACATGTTTAAATTAAAATGTATAGTAAAAATATTTGTGCTGGGTGTAGCTGTCAGTATTGGGTTTCATGCTGGCTGTCATCATGCTGCACATTAAGGGTCTTATTAGGAATGAGGGGCATTGATTTTTTGGTCTCTTCACAACAGCTTGGGTTGATCGTAAAACCTGTAGCCAGGGAAAGACACTTGGAGATTTATCATCAGTTGCATCATTCTCCCAAGAAATAGTTTTAATATCCTCAGGCTATAAGATCTCTTGGAGCCATTCTGGGAAACTGTCTTCTAAGGTTGAAATTTACATATAAAATTGTAGATTAAAAAAGAGAGATCAAAGTTGGCTCAGCTAGAGCCCTGAAGGAGTAACTCAGCAAGTGATACTTGAGTGGGCTGCATGTGCCAGAAAACGGCACCCGAGGACTCCCAGAGTAAAGTGCTAAGGACACACACTCTCCTGAGTTCAACAGTGAAGTCGCCTGTGCATTGGCTATGGAGCCAATTCTGCACCAGAACTAGAAACTGTTTTTCCTGGTGTCAGGGTCACTCCTGCCTGAAAGATCAGTCGGTCCCCTCAAATACACTCGATCGCCTGCCAGCAGAAGTATCATGAAAACCCCAAGTGGACAACATCCACTATGCCAAAACCAAAATAATTCTCCAGCATCTACCAAGTAAGAGGTCTCAAGCAGGAGAAAGAGACAACC